GTATCAAGCCAACGACATGCATAATCGTTGCATTTATTTTTCCAGCCACTCACTCATCCGTCCGTTTGTTAATTAATTTGTATAGCCGCTGTTTCTTTCGTTTACAAAAGCAGCAGTTCGTCTGCTGTACACGGTGCTTTACTGATATGATAACTTGATTAACTACAGAATAATTCGTTCGTGCGTTGGTGGTCGTACTTAAAAAATAGCGTAAAACATGGTTTACTTAAACACAGCGCAAAAAATACTCTAGTGAGTCCGGTGACTGACCAGTACCGACGTTTTGGCCCGTGTCTCGTGGGCTTTCTTCAAGATAGATTGGTGCTGAAGTTTCGTGAATGTGGTTAGTCGTCCGCAGCAGTCAGTAGTTTTGGAGCTAAAGGTGTTCTGGCGACCACCGGCATTCACGACTCTTACGCGCTGACCTATGTTGAAGAAGGCCCTGAGACACGGGCCGAATCATCGGTACTCAATTCACCGCACTCACAACAGTATGTTTTGCGCTCTGTATGAGTAACCCGCGTTTTACGCTATTTTTTCCACCTGTCAAACTGATGGTTGACAATTTGAGGTTGACTTTGAGTATACTTGACTACCTGGCCTCAGACATGCTCCTTAGCTGCCGACTGCGTAACTTTACGAATGCAATTCGCCCTGCAGGTCTTTCCTCCCATATAGTGGTCACGTGCCCAACTCCAGAAAACTAGAGGACACACACAGTCGGGCATATCTCAGATTGCCATGCTTCCCTCGCTTGCCGATACACATCGTCAAATCAGCAGCTCTTGGTAAGAACGTCCTCGCCGCTTTGATCCCGGATCTGATTCAGCTGGTCACTATCGGACAAATGTAAGCGAAGGTGAGCGAGAGTAGACATTTCGATTAGGGTAGCTTCAAACGGCTGCTCAGCTGTTTCGGTTAAATCGACAAAACTGTCGTCATGTATTAAAATTACTTGTGTCTGAACTCATTACTGAATGGCAACCTCAATTTTCAATCTGATCTCGATCCAAGTACTTACCGTCGCAGAGAAATGATAACAAATCGTTATCAGTCTTGTTGAGTCAGATGCTCAAGCATTTGGCATACATATGACACACTCCATTAACTGCGAGAATGACAAAATGTTTCGTTTTCATTCTGCGTCATCGAACCAACATAAGGTGAACGCAATATCCCCTTCCCTTCCACTGCACACAGTCTTATTTCCCTCCTTTTCGTCTTCCCTGTGATAAACCTCAGATACAAGACTGCACAGAGGTCAGCAATTATTCTAACGAGAGTGGAACTGATGAACGACTATCTCCGAAGCGGTCGGATTTGTTCTCCATCATCGCGACTGTCAGAAAGCCGGATGAACAGAAGTGACTATTAGGCGCTGTTTCACTTGTCGACGCAATGTTTCCCAAAAGCCCAATCCTGGAACATGACGTAGCAATGAGGTATGTGCTGCAAAAGGCAATAGACCTGGTACTTTCCTCTTCCTCGTTGTCTTCCTGTTCTTTGTTCCCCACTCGTCTATATCTTCATATGCCGTTATTGGTCTTCCTCCTTTTTATATTCTCCAATAAGTGAGAAGCCATTTTTCATTGAAGCAAAAAAAATCGTAAAACAGGAATATTTATATGTGACACAAACGGTTTGGTCAGTCAGGTGATTGCTCATTGCCAACTTACCTCACGGAGGTTCTACAAAGTAAATGAGCTTCGAGGTGTGCGAGCTTCGCCATTCTTTCTGGCCGCTGCAGTGGTTTGCTCGTTCAGAACCAGAAGGCGCAAGGCACAATTTCGCATCCTCTGTCACGGTTAACGTTTTTTAGGACTGAATGATTAATGCTTTCTTGACGTGCCTGTTCAAACAGCATCTTTCTCTGATGATAGCCTATGCAGTCTGATTAACGGCGAGAGGAGGAGGCAGGCGTCTTTTCTGTGCAGCCTGCTACACCATGCTGAAAATCGTGCGGCTTATTTCTTGCCATGGCTGATGCGAACTGTCACGTGTAATTCACGCTCGTCTGCGATCATCCATTTTCTTCAGCGTGACAGGTCAGTCGTTGAGGAGCTGCCCCTGACGTAATGTTTCCCTGTTGCATAGTGACTTGTATATCCAGCCTGAACGGTTGCTATTCTCAGCATTACTCTATAAGGCATACAGTCTATTACGGAACTTTTATATATAACGTTAATATCACATTTGGTGTTAAATCACCTTTGTAATTTTTCGCCAACTTTTTATTATAATGGAGAGTTATAGATTATGCATTGGTTTTAAACATATCTTTCCGAGTATTGCTGTTACAAGTCAAATTAAGATGTGTTATTCTACGACTTATAATACTATTAATGTGTTTAACTGGAGAATTATTGTTTTCACAGAAGATTAATTTAATGACTAATTCCTTTTTTGTGAAATTCATCACTGCAGCTTCATAACTGTCTGTTATAGCTGAAACTACATGATAAAGTGAGTTGAAATTTAATCAGTTATCAGTTTTAGTTGGTTTAGGATAAGCATTGGTTGCAATTGTCAGAGTTAACTCTTAAGACGTCAGGAAATGATAAAATGGAATTGTTTGGTCTTTACATATAAACTCAGTATTTTGAGGAAAATTACCACCGAGATGATTTAGTACTTTGTTTTCATCAAATAGCAGAGCTATCGTCCGTATATATTTTGGAATCCATATGAATCTTGTTCTGCGTTCGTGCCCCGGGCCAAATTTTCACATTTTTATGAGCATCGCAGAAAATATATGGGTAAATGAGTTGCCCATGGCATTTCATTGGTTTATCTGAACAAACCGCCATGGAAGGAGAAATAATTCGCCTCTACCGTGTATATCTTGTTAACTTTCTCATAGATATATCTGACAGATTATTACGTTGTTTAATGTATTATCTCCTAGAAGTTTACCTATTATTTTAATAGTAAAGTCAGGAATATTAGTAAACTAGTGTTTAACATTCTAAAACTCTTCAGAGGGCTTAATCAGTTTCAATTTCCTGCAGAACTCGTGGGAAGTTATTGAGTACGATGGGTTTCTTCTGTTAAAGTACGAGATTTTTTCAGTTAGTTTCCAAATCTCTGCAAAATAAGCAGCAGAGGCAGTAGGTGTGACGAGAAAATTAATTTGATGTATTTTAGTAAACCCTTGTATGTATATTTTATGACTAATCGGTCGTTAACTAGCTTGACGTAGGCCACCAGGTGCCTCTTGAAAAGTGCTTTTTTAGAGAAAGGACATCATTTTGACGAAAGAGCAGTGTGCCGACTTTTGCATGGATTCATCAGTTTGTCAAAGTTTCTGTTATCCGACCGAAAAGCTTGCGGGAAAGACTTGCCACGCCATGCTCCTTTCGGGACGTCACGCCATCGGGAAGTGGAGAAGAGCTATCGAATACCTGCAGTCGCCCATCACCGATTCGGCAGACACAAGGTTAGTGTACTTCCTGAAAGCGAAAGCAACTGTTATCACGGTCCTTCTCTCTTTGTAGTCCAGTGCTACGCCTGAATCTGCCGAAAAACAGTGTTCATGCCAGCGAGAATTTCATTCGAGCGCAGCGTGAAATCGAATTCATATTTCCTGAAGGTATGATTATGATTGTGAAACACAGGAAGTCCCTTGAACCTTGTACTACGTGCTGAATGCACATTTGCTACAGTGTTATGCTTCAGCAATGTCGCTATTTTGTAGTTTATGTTTCAGTGACTTATTTTGAAGGAAGGAACTGACCAAGTGAGCGGAATCAGAAGCTGATACAAGGTTTTATAGAATTTGGGTAGATGGAGCAAAGTAGTACCTGATATTGGTAAAGTATCTCGTTGTCCACCATTCTTTATGTGCCAATGGTATAGATTCTGGCGGTTTACGTTTTCGTTTGGACTGCATATAAATTCCGATTGGGAACATCTCACTATTTTATCGTGTAGCCAATCGCATCGCACCAGTTCGATTTTTCATCAGAGACTAGGCAAGTCTAAACGCCCTGATAAGAATTCCAGAGGATGCAATGCCTGCGTCCAAGCTGAGTTCTTTAAGCGTTTGTATTTGATTAAAATAAATTATACATGAAAATCGAATTAAGGTAAATAATATCTAGTCACTTCTCAGAATTCACACGGCGAAGTCGCACCTTTCCCTCGTTTGTCACAACCTTTGGAACCGCTTAAGCATGTCATGGATTAGTGATATTTTAGCACTTGCAGTGCATAGGGCAAAACAGCACCGCTTTGGTGGATTAAACACAAACCCGCTCTAACGCCGAAGGACATATCTCACACTTAAGACAAATAATGAAAGTTAACCCCAGTATTACGTAGTACGATTTACTAGTAAGCCGTTAGTTTTCAGTGCCGTCGTCAAGAATAACGATCTTCTGTCATTTCTCAGGATTTATAGGCGTTGTTACACCGTTCCCGTTGCTTCTACTTGCATAGGACACCGTATAAAAAACATAAACCGCAGTGACTAAGCGTGAAGTGAATAGATGGACGAATGAATGATATTCCTAGTTTATGGGTGGGGGACAGCAGTTGCAAGGTTCATGAAGAAATCAGTGAATATAAAAATAAAACTCTTGCCAAGTTTTCTAATTGAGTGGTTGTACGCACAAAGAAGTTCAAAAGTGTTTACTTCGAAAACTTACAGCGCTGGTTGTCTACCTTCATTATAGAAAATGCCGTTTTTTTTCATCAGCATTTATCGATTTTCGCTATACATGCAGTAAATGATTAAATTAGGAGAACGCTTCAGTTTCATTTCCCTTTCATAGCTGTACAGATGAACGGCATAATCTCACTTATCACGTTTTCCCGATTGGTTCGTTTATTCCGTTTATAAATTTATATATGCATTCATTTATAAATTTGTATGTCCATCAAGAGGGCCTGATTTTTTTTCTCTTGACTGTATAGATGAAAGGTTTAACTTCACTTTGCCCCCTTTAATATTCATTCAATTCATTCATCTTCGATTCGTTTGGTCACTCGCTCATTCATTCCTAAGGTTGACATTATGGCTCGTCATTTTTTATTTCTGTAATTAGTTATC